TAATAAGTTTCTATTATTTCCTGGGCCAAGGGATTTGTTTTCTTAAACAACATTTTACAAAAGTAAGTTTTAAGTACAATAACTCTCCTTTTTGGGGGGAATATGAGCGTACAAATGATACTCTTTATAAAATTTCTGTTTTGATAGGAATGAAATGAGTGGCTTTAAGTGCTTAACCCAATTTGATCTAGCAGGAGAGAGACTTTCCACCAGGAAAAAGGAAATTAAATAATAGGATTATATAAGACAATGAGATATAATTGCTAGAAAGAATAAAGATAGATTGTTTCGTTTTCTAACTAGTGGTTTCTGTCCGCTGATATACTACAATTCAAATACTAGAAGTCCATGAGGTTATTGGTTTGCCTTAAGCAATTCAAGATACCCGAGTTTATTAAGCATCAAACAGCATGGGACATTGAAGTCATGAGAAAATAGATTGTTTTCAATACTCTTACCTCATAAAGCTTTCTAATTTACAATATTTATCCCCAAATTGCTAATGTTCTAAAAGACATTATTAAAAAGTTAAAATGTCCTTTTATAGTAATATAATGTGTTCATTTTGCAATGTAGAGAAGTATTACATTGTGGTTAAAGGTTGCTCAATATGCTCTATTAGTAAATGAAAGATAAGTATAAAATATATTTAAAAGATGCTTAAATAATGTCAAAATGTACATCATAAAAATAGGTAGGCAACTGTCTGTGAAAACAACCAAATATGATCCTGTTGGCAGTGATAATTCGTTTAGTTTAATGTGACTATTAACATGTGAACATTCATAATAGACCTAAATTCAGCCAAACCGAATTTTTTTTTAACTTGGTCTGCAGATTGTTCCAGCGATTAGACTGGTTGTTCCACTGAATCACTGATTTCGGTCAGCTCTTGGGGCTGGCGCCAGGGTGCTCTGTGCTAAGTCTGCCCACAGCGCTGGCATCCCACGTGAGAGCTGGGTCTGCTTTCCTGGGTCCTGTTTCAGCGGCTTCACTTCCTCCAGCTCAGGCAGTAGAGGACAGCTCACACGCTTAGCTCCCCGCACCCTATGGAACACCCAGAAGAAGCTCCTGGCTTCACAGCAGCCCCAGTGTGGCCAGTGAGACCACTGCGGAATGAGTCAGCGGATGGGCGTGCCAGCGCGTGCTCGCTCTCTCTGCTACTCTCTGTAAGTCTGCCTTTCAAATACAAAAGTTTTAGTCAATTCTTACAAACCAGTTACTCAGATTATTCCTGGGCCTTCCATCGCTTGTTGAAGAATTAAAAATAATTCTAAACTAAATTGTCTAACTTACATGATCACTTCAAGAGGATTGTTAAACCGTTTAAGTCAGCATGCATTTCAGCAATGTTTTTATCCCATTGAAAAACATAAACATGCATGTCTAAATAAAGCAGCATATGCAAATGAAGGGACACACATCATGTAGAATTATGTTGCATTTTTCCATTACTCCCCTAAAATAGGTTTACACCTTACTGTTAATATAACTACATCGGTAGAGTATGCATTATTAATACTTTCTGGGATGTTTGTTTACTAATGGTTACGTGTTTACTGGTGAAAGGATGTTACAGGTTTTGGCTGCGAAGAGCAGGGAACATGTGTTGCGTCATATCTATTATACCCCTAGGATAAAATCATAAATATTACGTATCAGTGGCAAGAAGCAGGACTATAGCACTTGGCAACGATGCATTTCAATGAGGCATTCCATCGAAAGGAAGGGATTTTATTCCTCCCAGTCTCTCCTTCCATCGTCGTTTTAAGGAATTATTTAAACATTTGAAAGGCAGACTTACAAAGAGAGAATCTCCCATCCCCTGGTTCTCTGCCCAGATGGTATTCTGGTCATGTGTATTGTGTTTGTATCAGCCCGGATGCTGATAGAGCAGAATTGTGGAAAGTTGCTTAATAGAATTGCTAGTTAGGGATTCATAAATGTTCGAGAGAGATATTGCGACTGACTTGTCAGCCTCACATTTCCTTTCTTGCCCTTCGCTATTTGCACCAACATACATATGTGGGCTATGACCAAGTGGCACCTTTACACTTTTCTTGACATTCAGGGCCTCATCAAGTGGATGCACTATTTGATTTAACAATTCAGAAAGTGAAATTTCCATCACGCCCAACTCACAAAGTACACCAACCGGAATGTGACTTGATGGGCAGAGTCTGGTACATGTGATCAACAGGACAGGAAGAATCGGGGTGTGCAATCCTCAACTTCCACTGTTTTCAGAGCCGGCACCTGTTGTCCTACATCCCGTGCTCTGCCCATCAAGCACAGACTTGCATTTGGCCAGAGGCACCGCCCGACGGTAGGCGACGCTCTTTCAGCAGTTCTTTCCAGGTCCCTCCGGGAGAAAGTAGCGTGTCTCCAGGGGTCGCTCCTTTCCCGCTCCCGGGCAGGGCCGCTCCCGGCGGGAGAAGAGCAGGAGGGACTCCCGAGCAGGAGAAAGTCGCCAGCTCAGGAGGGACCAGAATGTAGCTGAGAACCTGTAAAGAAAGAGGGCAGGTGCCAAGGGCTAACAAACACGCTCTTTTCCCACCCAAGGCCTTGGCCAACTGGGGCTTGTAGCCAATCAGCCAGTTCCCAAATGCACACTCTGCCGGTCGAAGGGGAGTGGCTTTCGGAGGGACAGAGGAAGGCAAGCGCGGGCCGTGCCGCCCAGTGGTCAGTGCAGACCAAGAGCCCCGCGATGACTTCCCGGAACCGCCGCTGGCTGGAGCAGCAAAGCTCTGCAGAAGCCAAGCGAGCCGCTTCGTGTGGCCAGAGGGCAAGCAACTGGGGGACCCTGGCTCCGGCTGCCCGTATTTTTGTAGAACTCAGCAGCGCTGTCTTTTTATTACTATGATTATCTTTAATTTTTGATGTTAAAATCTATTTTGAATAAAACCGGCCGGGCCGCGCTCCTCCCGCGCCGGTCGGCGGGTCCGCGGGCGCCCGTAGGTGGCGCCCCTCGTCCGTGCTTGCGCGTCCCGCCCGCGCTCCGGGCGCAGCTCCGACAGACAGCCCGCGCGTCCCGCCAGGTCGCGGATGCTCAGAGCAGCGTTTGCATCCAGGCGCGCGGCTGGCGACACGCTCCGGGAGGCGCAGACGCGCACACCCAGGCGGGCGGCACCTCTTCCGCCTCTGCCCAGACTCCCGCATCCCCCAAACTGGAGATAAAACCAATCAGTTCCCAAGCTGTGGGTCTCCAGTCCAGTCTTGGTTCGTGTTGTTTTGTTTCTCCTTTAATTATGAAAGTGGTCACGCTCTGCAAGATTAAGACTTGGAGGGAATTTGGAAAAGGAAAGAAAGCATCTAAAAGAAGAGGCGCGCCTGGTGCCGGTGAGGGGGCCTTCTTGTAAAAGGGCGTCGCAAGACTTCCTTCTGGGGGCCTGCCAGGGTGAGAACCGGACCCTGGCGTGGCGGGGAAGCGGAGGGGCTGCGGGAAGCGGGCATCGGGAGGGAGCTGGCAGCGCTGCGCCCTCTGGAGACGCTCCGAGAGGCCGGGGCGCCCAGGGGCCCGGGTGGCCGGCTGGGACGCAGGTGGGCTGTGCGCGCAGGGCGCTCGGCGCGGGGTCCGCGGCGCGTCGGGCGTCCCCGGGCTCGGCGCGGGGCGTGGTGCCCCCGGAGCGGGCGCGGGCCGGCGCGGGCAAGCGGCAGGGCGGGGCGGCGCGGTTATTGGCCACGCGCTGCGAGAAGGGTCGCGCTCCCAGTCCTCCTCCCCCGGCTGCGCTCGCCTCATTTGCTCTGAGCCGAGCAACTTGTCGGACCGAGGTGCTCGCCACCATGGGCGCTCCAGGTAAACCAACGCGACCTGCCCGCCGGGCCCCGCGCGGGATAACCTTCAGGCCGGCATTTTTAACCGGGGCCATGGCCGTGTCCGCTGTCCGAGGCCTGAGAAAGGAAGGGTGGAAAGGAAGAATATCGAACTTTTTTTTTTTTTTTTTGCTAGGGCTGAAGATCGAGGGTCATTATTCAGAAGCAACTTATGTTTTTCTCTTGGAAAAATGGTTATTAGAGTCTGTCCGGGGAAGTGGGCAGTATGGGGAGGCTTCCTTTGCGTCCTGTTCAGATCGGTGGGCGCCCAGGGATTGGGGAAAAGTGCCTGTGGGCAGGTTAGGTTAGGCGAAATCCGAGGAGCCAGGAGAGGATCGGGCGTGGGCTCAGGAGCCCTATAGTTATAAAGCGGTCTCCTTGCTGGCTGCTGGTCCTTGGGGGAGAGAGGAGCTGGAGCGGGGCTTCTCCAGCGTCTCTCCACAGGAGCTCGGAGTTAGAAGGTATGTGGGTTAGGCTCCTCTCCCTCTCTGTCGCCCTTCGGCTTTCCTCCCACCTACCCCCGCTTAATCTCATCGGTCCTAGAAGCTTGCATCCTGGAGTCTGATCTTGTGTGGAAATCAGATGAAATCCTTACTACAAGGATTACCTGGGTACCACCTCCTTGTCAGGAAACTGGAGGCAGAAGGAGCTGGGGGGGCGGGCGAGAGGGGAGAAGGAAAGGGTGTCCTCGCGTGGCTTTGGGGAAAATGAAGGCGACACAGCCCGGGAAGATTTTCTGGCTTTATCTGAGTCCTTAGCCCCCTCGGCTGTGTCTGAGTGCGCGTCAGGGAGGGAGTGCAGTCTCAGGTCGCAGACCTGCGGGACCAGATCCCCGGAGTCGCGGCTTCCGACCTCGCAGCTCCCCACACCGCCCGCGGCTCAGGGGTGCTCAGGGGTGAGCTAAGGTGGTCAACAGACTTATGTCAAGTGGGAGAGCAGGGAGATGGCCTTCGAGGAGATGGCAGAAGGGTGGCACGCCTCTGCTCCCTGGCTGTCTTCTGCTCAGGGCGTCCTGGCTTCACCTTCCTAAGCTCTGGCTCTTTGCCCTGACAGGTCCGCTGAAGCCTCTCTTCTGAGAACCACCTTGGCCTTGCTCATCAGAACAGGAGACCCAGGCCAAAAAAAGGTGCAGCGGACGCATACCAGTGCGCCCCCTGCCCACTCCGTCCGCCTCCTCCCGAGTCCGGATGCCGGCGCCGGGCCGGGGCCCCCGCGGGCCGCTGCACGCCATGCCCGGGCGCCGGGAAGTGCTGCGAGAGCCGGCCGCCTGTGGCTCCTGCCTCGGGGCGGCGCTGGCCTTGCTGCTGCTCCTGCTGCCCGCCTGCTACCCGGTGCGGGCGCAGAACGACACAGAGCCCATCGTGCTGGAGGGCAAGTGCCTGGTGGTGTGCGACTCCAGCCCGTCTGCCGACGGCGCTGTCACCTCCTCCCTGGGCATCTCGGTGCGCTCCGGCAGCGCCAAGGTCGCCTTCTCCGCCACGCGCAGCACCAACCACGAGCCGTCCGAGATGAGCAACCGCACCATGACCATCTACTTCGACCAGGTCAGCCACTGGCCTGTGCTCCTGGCTGCTCGCCAGGGAGGAGGGGGCTCGGGTCCAGGTGCAGGGCGGGAGAGTTTCCAGGGGGCTCCTCAGCCATGCCCAACCTCTCCGTTATTCCTGTTTTCCAAGGAACTGTTCCCACATTTTCCCTTCTCACTCAGTTGTCTTGTTCCCTCTTGTTACTTGACATTAGGGCAACTGAGAGTCCCTCAAAGCTGTCCAGGCTGAGACATGTGGAGCTAATAATGGAAATGGGGAATTCGTTTCTCCAAGACAGGTTTACTTGGCACTGAGGGTGGCGGCAATGCCCACGATTCCACTACCTTTCAGACTCACTATGCTCATGATCTTTCCGAAGCAAAGGACTCCCTCCCTCAGCCACTTGTCAAGACGCGGGGAGGGGCTGATTGTTGGGGGGGGGGTTGGGAGGGATGAGCACCTGCAAGGAGTGGGGGAGACTGCCTTGGGGCAGAGCAGGAAACACAGGAACGGTTGTGTCAATGCGAAGCAAAATACAGTTGTGTTTCTGTGAAAGCTATGTGAAGTAGGTGGCATATGTGTACACTGCCAGGACAGTGCAGCCTCTGCTTGTGCTTAAAGTGCATAAAATACAGAGCCGTGCCTCAGCTTACCCCAAGTCACTTTACTTCTGCCACCGGGATCAGCATGAGGACCAGAGAGGGGCAAGCTGGGCGGTCTTTCTCCTGGGTTAGTGCTGGCACATGACTTTCTTTGTATGTCCCTACTTTGATTTGTTTGATTTTTTTTTTCAGAAAAAACATTTAAAACTATATGGAGGCTTCAAAATTGGAGGTATCATCTAATCTTCCTGCACGTGCCTGCCCCAGAGTGGAGTACTCAGCAGTATTTGCAGAATGGAAGGGGTGACTGGTCACTGTCCTTAATTAGCTCTGAAAGCTAGAGTGACAGCCCTACCCCCAAGACACGTACACACTCACACACACACACACATCTCTTCTAGTCCAATGTTGTAGTACATTCTGTTTTTAGTCTCGGTTGAGACTCGTATATTTAACAGTTTGGAGTAGGTGGAGCATTTCTTATCCATTTTTATTTATAAAATATTTTAAAAAATTATATTCAAGTAATGGAGACCACAATGACAAATATATTTGTTACTTCTACACAGGTATGACAGAAGGTTCTGTGTGTGGTCTTGTTATTGCCTTATTGTAATTCATCTACCGGTTTCTTACCAGCAACTTCATAGCATTTTCACAATCATCACTTTACTCAGGTGTAAATTTTTATAGCTGGGCTGATTGTGTCCAGGCAAGTTACATACTGGTTCTCCAGTTGCCCTTTAGGGAGTAACTCTGCCTGCTCTGGGGGAACTGGCTGGGTCCTTCCATCTTACACTGAGCCTGAACTGACCCATCTAAGGCTGAGCTGGGCTGGAGGGCTGCAGCAGGGATAAAATGGAGACTCCATTCTTCTATGAAGCATTGTGAGGACTGAGGGCTTGGCCTCTGGGAAGCCCAGAGCAGGTGTCCACAGGGCTTGGTTTCTGGAAAGCGCAGAGCAGGCGTCCACGGGGTTTGGTCTGCATCAGTACAGCCCAGAACAGATGTCCACAGGGCTTGGTGTGCAGCAGTACAGCCCAGAGCAGGTGTCCATGGGGCTTGGTCTCTGGGAAGCCCAGAGCAGGTGTCCACAGGGCTTGGTGTGCAGCAGTACAGCCCAGAGCAGGTGTCCATGGGGCTTGGTCTCTGGGAAGCCCAGAGCAGGTGTCCACAGGGCTTGGTCTGCAGCAGTACAGCCCAGAGTAGTTGCACAGGGCTGTGCACTGGGGCGATGCCTACAGCTGGTTAAATATGATGGCACGGAGCGGCCTTCGACTCATGTCAGCAGTTGTTATTGGCAGCGTTTCACATTGCTTTGGGAGCCACACGGTATCCATCAGCAATGAGTGTGTATCATTGCTAAAACTGCTTTTCGTGCAAGGAGGAGCACTCTCATCTAGGGCTCGGTCTTGGTGCTATTTCACACCCAACAGGCCATTCTTTTATTTCCCCCCTCCCGCCTCCCATTGTGCATTTGTGTATGCAGAGAAAGAGGGAGAAGACCTAGACCAAAAGGTGTGATTTTGGTTGACAGTCTGAGAGGCGGCTGGGTCACAGTGAGGGATCAGTTCTGCCTGTGACTTAAATCCCACCAGTGTTGAAGGAAAAGATTGCATTGTGTCAAAGTGCTTTCCTGCAGGGTGTGGAGTTTCCTTAGTTTGGGCTGAGGGTTTCGAAGTGGTTATTCTGATTTTCTGTTAACTTATTCAAGCTCATTTGTATGAAATCAAAACTTAGCTAAGGGAGAAATGCATGGCTAAGGGGAAAGCAAGGAGAAACAGGATCCAGTGCTTATCCACGAAGCTCTTTCACTGAGCAGCCATTCTTGAATGCCTCCCGTGAGCTGCCAGAGTGTGCCAGGTGCCTGGAAACAGCAGGCAATGAAAGTTCCCCAAATGTTCCCTCTGTGCACCTCAGGTCATGCCCAAGCATGTGCCACGTGCATGAGCTTAGTTAACTGGCTCTTTTTCCGCAGCCCTTGCCTCTTCCAGGGTGTCTGGAAATCTGGTTTTTGTCCAAAAAGAAGTGTAGTGGATTGAGCTTGCCGTCTCACAGGTCTCTTGCTGTCCCAATGCCTTGGGTTCATGTCCCCCTGTGGGGGACAGACAGTATGGATTTAGAGCATCCTTTGTCAGGAGCAATTCTGAGATCAACTCCTTCGGTAGGACAGTTTAGCTTCAGCACCACTCTTTCTGGGTTTGCCTGGAAACCGTGACCTGGTTCACTGAGTGTGATCGGGATATATGTGGAGGAGAACCCACTATGTTTGTTTTGTGTTTTCATTTGCTTTTCAGGTATTGGTAAACATTGGCAACCATTTTGATCTGGCCTCCAGTATATTTGTAGCACCAAGAAAAGGGATTTATAGCTTCAGCTTCCATGTGGTCAAAGTGTATAACAGACAGACCATTCAGGTGGGTAGATTTGGAAACTGGATCATTTCACATGGTGTGGGAGGATGGGGTGCCACGGAACTGGGCTCTGGGCCAGATGGGAGTGGTCTTAAGCAGGCACTCTCGAGTGGGCTGTAAAGGGAGATGTGGGGGTAGCAGTGCGTTGTGGAAAGAGAAGCAAACGATGTGAGTGTGTGTACATACACATATGATACATGGAGGAGTGTGAGTGTCACAGGAATTTCTTGAGATCTGCTGAGCTATTCCTTCTGCATTTTAGGTCAGCTTAATGCAAAATGGCTACCCGGTGATCTCAGCATTCGCAGGAGACCAGGATGTGACCAGAGAAGCTGCCAGCAATGGTGTGCTGCTGCTCATGGAGAGGGAGGACAAAGTGCATCTCAAACTGGAGAGGGGCAACCTCATGGGAGGCTGGAAGTACTCCACCTTCTCGGGCTTCTTGGTTTTTCCTCTATAGACTCAGAGACTCCTGGAAGGCATGGACGTGGCCATCTGGACCCAGGAACCCGCAGCTTGCAACCTCCTGAACTCTCCGAGCAGGACAACTTGCTCCCAACCACCTCTGGACTGTGTGTCAGAAGAGTGGCTTCCTTCGGCACCTCCAGCGTTTTCTCTGAATACTGACCATTCCTCAGAAACCCAGCCTCTTGCGTGTTTTAAACGACAAGGTCTGAAGGAGAACTGAGAGATCGATTTGAGTAATTTGTAGCTGTGATTGTGAAGTCAATAACGGATTTTCTTGTTGGAGACCATTGACTTGATCTCCTTTTGTTGGTTCTTTGTGTTGTCCCGATGCAAGGAATGCCACTGAACCCAGGATCCAGGGCAGGTTTTACAGCAGGGCTCAGAGCCAGAACCCAGCCGAGATCCGCCTACTGGACAGTCCTTGACATGTGTTCTGTGTGTGTCTGTAGAGCCTTAAGAAAAAGAACGGCTTCCCCTTCCGTCTGTTTTACTCCTGGGTGGCTGTGTGGATGGGGGAGGGGGGATGGGACAGTGTGAACCTGTCAAGAAGTGCTTTATTCAGAGAAGCAAATTTTGCACGATTGGACTGAGACTTCTGTTTTGTATTGTTTGTGTTTGTTTTTCTCAGAAAGCTTTACTTTTACTTGTATATTCATCTCTTCCTCTTCATCCCCACTTTTTTTTCATGCTGGGGTCAGAGAAAGCATATATATGTTGAATTCTTGAATGAGACCAAACCAAACCCAACAAAGCGAAGATCTGAATATTTTTTACTGAAAGAGAACAAACCAAACAAACAAAAATCAGTGTATCAAAGTAAAAATAGCAACTGGACAATTCTGCCTCTTATTTCAAAGACATTGTCGCAGATGCACCTTTAGAAGTAGCGACCTGAATTGATTTCATAATTTTAGTTTCCACTCCAGAGTCCTTTAAGAACGGGGTATCCCTGGGGGGGCCTGCCTTGTCTGAGAGTGGGAGTTGTCAAGTCAAACCCCCTGGAGCCACCTCGGTGTCTTTGCCGTATGTGTCCAGGACTTCTCGGCTCGGCGGTGTGTTCTCATCCTGGGGTCTGCTGTGTGTGGAGTGGTTGCCCAGTGACCAGCTGCCTCGGAGACTTCAGGACCAGCACCTGCTTCTACGGACCGCCCTTGGATCTGCCGAGGGACAGAATGTGTTGAGAATTGTGGGTACCTGGCAGGAGGCCACCTGGAAGGCACAGTGGTTAACGGTATTGGCTGAGGCACCGGAGGAGTGGTTTACACATCCACCCGAGTTGGCACCTTGTGCAACAGTGTTTTCGAGACAGACACAGCTGAGCTGATGGGTGCGGGCTCTGTATGCCAAGGAAATGTCACTAAATTCCAAAGCAATCCAAGAGGAGACCTCAAACCGGATGTTAATTTGTCCTTTGTGTAACAATGTAACCAAAATGTTCATGATAAAAAGTCATAATTTAAGATTCAGAATAAAGGGGTTTGATGTCTGGCTTGCTCTTATCCCTCCACATCGTCTCCCTGCGATCTACGCTGCCACGGTCAAGGCCTTGAGGCGCGTGGATACACAGCCACATGAGAAGTGAGCTGTGGCGTTTGTCACACGTCATCTTGGATGCAACAAGTTCCTGTGAGTCTCCAACCTCTGTTGTAAAGGAAACTGGCATTGGAAGAGGCAGTTGTCTCCAGAGTTCCCGTGAGTGTGGGGAGGTGCTCCATCCAAGCACAGCTACAGCAATGCTTGTAGAAATTTAAAAAATGCGTAGCTTGATTAAGAATTTTACTACATAGCAGGAAGCAGAATTTAATATAGATTGAAATGTTGTTAGGTTTTGTGCGGAAAAGAAAAACCAATCAAAACAGGTGTGAGGGTCATTGGCTCTGGGATTAGGAGATGCTCTTGGGGACACGGGCATCTGTCATTGATATTATTCACAAAAAGAGGGTGCTGGAATGCAGTTTTTGGTGTTCTATTGCTCATGATTAGTTCCATCTTTTCTCCATTTCCTTTGCATTATGTTCAATTTAAAACAAATAGGAAACCTCACTTGCAAAGCAGTGCATCTAAGACTTAAAAGTGTATGAATACCTGTCATTTTCTACCACTTATGATGTAGTGTTCATATTTGTATTTACAGCTTTATTACATATAGGTGGTTATCAGACTATACTGCCTAATAAATAAGTTATGATATTGATTCATCTAAAAATAAATATATTTTAGGAGTTTATTTTATACTAGGAAGAAAAGAAAAATGTTTCTCCTGATGGCTCCATCGCATCCTTGTTATTTTTTTCTCTTGAGATGGATGCCAGCAAGCGCATTAGGAAGCAGCCGTGTTCACCGTCTTGAGGTTGTTTACCATCAACTGCAGTGCTGACCTAGGCGTTGTTTGGCTAAAATCTTTGAGGTTTATGACGCTCCCGTATGTGGTCTACAAAAACTTATATAGGTCAGACCAAAATGCCTATTTACCCTTTATTGGGTAACAAACCCAGATGTATTATAACATGAACACAGACTTCTGCTACGTATTTCTTGATCTGCTCACCTTAAGGGAGGTCAGGAGCAGGCGGCCTGCAGGCAAGGGGCATGGACTGCAGCAGTGCCCTGACAAGTGCAGAATACTGTGGAAAGGGGGGTTCGGTCCCAGGATGGGCACTTCTGGAAAAACAGGTTTTGGAAGTATTGTAAAGGAAGAGCTCATAGGAGGGCAATCTCCTGTAGAACTAAATTTCCATATTTCCCCGTGGATGATTAAAACTGCAGCATTGCACTGAGGTTTTCTTTAATATGATTTGGGGGATGATGATGATATTAACATCTACACATTTGATTATTAATTCAATTCTCAAATAAGTTATGAGCTACCCCTTGCTATTCTGTCCTAGAGAGCAATACCAATACTTTTTAAACATAAAATAAAGTGATACAGTGTTATGGTAGTGTTACAGTAAGTTCCTTATGTTGATAAATGCTAGTACTCTGAAACTGCAGATTCGTTTAAGAGAATGCCATTTCTCCACTCAGATATATCATCATTTGAAACACAGCCCTGGTAATTCAACTTGAGGTCCTGAGAAACCGTGTTTACTGCCTGTCAGTCCTGCGCCTCCGCTCCTCCTAGTGTTTTGAATATATGCATTCATATGCAAGCGATACTGCATTTTGAAAATGTGCTTTCTGTGACTGCTCAAAAAGGAGATGGTAGAAGCATGAAAAACCATGCAATTCTGTAAAGATTACCTTCACGCACTTGTATCCGAAACAACCAATTCCACTTATATGGAGCATCAAAAGAGTTAGAAAATATGTGTAAAGCAAAAAATTCCTTCCTTGAACCTTTGATTTCATTTGTGGTTTATTCTTGATATCAGATATATATTGGAGTGATCATATTCTATTATTACAAATATACTATTACATGTGTATATACATGCTGTCTGTCTATAAATATGTGAACATACACACTTGAATTTCTAACACAGTGATACAAAAATAAAATATGTGGATTTGCCACATCCTTCTGACACCTAGAAATATGTGAGGGAAAATTTTGGTGATTCACTTTACACGAGCAGCGCAAACAGTGGCGACTGCTCTGTCATCTTTAGTGGCAGAGATAGAGCAGAGACTATTCCCCTGATTTAACCATGACTTTTCAATCTTTTTATAAGGAAACATGCTGCAGCAGGATGATGTTACTATGGATTACATAGTCGACATTTGCTTATATTTGTACAACACTGCAAGTATACAATACTGAAGCGCATAGATTCACACAGATAAAGGATTCTTCTACATTATATTTATTATATCATAGTGCCAAGAAGTAGGAACGTCACAGAGAAACAGACTACATTATTAAAATCAACCTGGAGGTTTTTCAGTGCATTCTGTGAAAAATTGTGTAAATACAGAAAGAGATTAATTGTAGAACTACAATGGCTTTCACCCCTTTGCCTTGCTTATATGAAAATGTACTTGTCATTGGAATTCTCTTTCAAAGGCTACCACTTAATACTAAAATGGAAAATGCAAACATATTTTAAAATTATTATCAAGTTATTTCTTGGTATATAAAGAGCAAACATACCAAATATACTGAAGTGAGTTAAAATACAGTTTCCATTAAAAATGATCTGTTTTGTATCTTCTTAATATATTGTGTTAGCTGATGATGGCCAGTATTAGTCAAGTCTCTATGTGTATTTGTGTGGCATTTTTAAAACGTACTTTTGCACATAAAATTCACCAAAGTGTGCGTTTTCTGCTTTTGTAGATAGAGTGTTACATTTAAAAGATTAAGTATTAACATGTTACAGTTACTGGTGGTATGATTGGACAGATTCTCCCTCTATTCCCAAAAGTTGAAAAAAAAATTATACAGAATACCAAGCAATGTCAACTTTTAAAAAATGGTGTGCATGAAAGTCTGTATAGTAATGGTATGCTATAATATGAATCTTAAGTAAATGAGCTTTCTTTGCATTCCCAAACCCAGTAGGACAACTCAAAATTTGTAAGGGCAAAAATCACGTGACATTACCTCCCGCAGATAACAGGAGTTCCGTTTTATCTTTCTAAATGGGTTTTGCTGTGGGTCTCCATCACTGGAGAGTCATAAATCATCATTTTCATCAGCTCGCCCACATGCACTCACTGGGTAGTGTAAATGAGCTCCTTGACAACTTAATTTAGGAAAGAAATCTTCATTCCCTCTTCTTACTGCCTACAGCAGGACTCCCTGGGGCTAGAATTCTGCATTGCCCTGGCACTATCCTAACAAAATGGAAGCTACCTACTAATGAGAGCCCCTTGCTACTAGCCTTGCATCCTGACTGGCAATTCCTCAAATTTTCTTCTCTTCCATTCCTAGGAATGTTTCTCCCTATACTGGATTAGAAAATGCTGATACTGATTGGGATATGGAACTCCTGAGCAAATTGCTTAACACTATCTGGCATTATCTCAAGCGTTGATAATAACAGTGAT